AATCCAGGCCGCGGCCGCTTCTGACGAAACGTGGACGGCTGACTTTGACCCTCCTTGACGTTCCAAAATCTAGCCTCCTGGCCACATCCTCTAGTGCCTCCGAGTTATCCACAGCTTTCCATCTCAACAAAAAATACGAAGCAATGGAAGTTCATTTGCTCGAGATAAGAAACTCGCTCTGTTGAAAATAGAAACCAACCCTCAGTGCGCCGTCCCAGGCTTCCGGTGTGGGCATCTGTGCCAACACACCGTGGCACGGAGGACGATGTACGGATCCCGGAGGCAAAGCATTCGACATCTCGTTTACTCCGTAGACCATGCCACTTTTCCCAAAGTGATGGAACTCGTGAAACAAATGTTCCCCCTTGCGCTTTTGCATAGGTAACGGCAGTTGCGGTATTCTTTTCTCTGAGACTTGGTTACTCAACAATTCACCTCTCCAACGAATGATATCCTGTATACGCCGAGGTGTGGGCAGCACTCAGTTTCAAGCCTCACTCCTCCCGAATTATCACCAACAGACTACTTTCCTTCCTTTTCTCCTCATTTTCATGACGTATATAGCACAAGATTTTCGAGCCTCAGAGCCAGATCTACGATCATCAGGCACCAAGCTTCTACCCCCTCACCCTCTGAACAAGAGGAAGGGTACTGGCTAGCAGGTGGGAACTAACCCTAGTGTACCATCCCCGAGAGCTGGTTAATTAATCCTATCGCAGGCTGTATATATTTAAACCTAACTGCCATCATGATCCGAAGCAGGCAGCATTGCATGGCATGTGTATGGAGTATGCCGGCGTTTAAAACCTCACCTTTGTTGTCGAGCTGATACTTGTGGCGGGAGGGATTCCTCTCGTGTCAGCGCAATGCCTTTAACCCGTACACAATGATCATCGCCTGGTCTCCGCAGGATACATACTACTGAGAGGCCTCATGCAGTTCTCATCATATGTATGGAGTAAAATAATCGTACTTCTCTGAAATCACTCAAGCTCGGCATGTTCACAGGACGACCAAGACCCGCGTTCCTCTCCAGGGAACAAGGAAGGAAAACAGGCCAGGGGCCGGAGCTGTTGCATACTCAGTGCGCATGAAATCATCAGAGGCAGCCCGTTGCCCAAAACGGCAGAAGAATACGGAGAAGCCTTGCTCTCCCATCCAAGGTACTCGATTACCTTTTTCTCGTCCATGCATACCACCACATTAAACAAATGCAGTCCAACTGCTTCTTTTTTTTTTTTTTTGCCTCTATTCCACGTGTCAGAAGGGATAGATAAGTAATCCAGTTTGGATTCTTCTGGAACAAAGGATAAATAGTTCTCTTGACTTTTATTTCCTTTTGAGAAAATAAAGAATTATCAATTCAAACGGTCAACGTTCTTGCTTGGTGACACAATCGGCTGACAACAACAGACGAAGGGCAAGGGTCAACGATCCAATCGTGCATTCTACTTACTATGACTCTGGCCACCACCGCCACCCTGAACCAAAAAAACTTCAAGTCAAAACTCCTCGGATCCGGAAACCTTTTTGACCCCTGCTCGCTGCGGCATTAGGGAGTAGGACAAAAGGGAGGAAAGGTGAGAGGAAAGGCGGCTGTCTAAGCCAATTGGCATCGTGCATCGTTCCTGAGCTTGAGTTTCCCGGAGGGCGTAACCCCCCCTAACTCAACCTCGATCTCAACCCGACATCCATGCAATGCGAGATGAAAAAAAAAGTGTGCCATCACCAAAATTTAACAAGTGTATACGTAAGTCTTCGGCAGAAGGAACGGAGTTTTACGAAACGTTATACATCCGGTTCAAGCTCCCGGTACGACAGTAACAGAAGTCTGGAAATCAGATGCAGAGATGCAGAGCACGCTGAAAAGTCAAGAAGGGGATATATTTTCCGCTTCCAGGCTTCTTCCGGTCCCTTCCCCTGAACAGCTCAAACAGGGGGGCAACACAATGACCTCGAGATATGGCGTTATCATCAGCAATTACGGGGTATATCGAATGATATGGATTTACCGCTACTCCGCAGTGCTGATACTTTCCAAATTCTCCCTTTTGCCTCACGGCAGCAAGCACATCCGCTGACTTGTTCACCTTTGGCCCCTCAAGTCTGTGCGAACAACAATCTGTTGACATCTATACTTACAGAATTCCTATCGCTAAAGTACGGGCATGTCTCTCTCGCTCTTCTTATTATTAGGAGCCCAAACTACCCTGACCCCAGCACGGCTTGCTCGTGTTCTCGCCGGTGTTCAAGAGCCTGCCAATAAAGAAGGACATGTAAAATTGAAGGGTGGGTGTTCAACAGCTGAGTACGGAGGGATGGAGTTCATATACGGAGCATAGGTGCATGCCATGACATCACCTTCATTGTTCGTCCTGTCTTGCATCAGGTAAAGTGTTAAGACCAGTGGTATGGTATGACGGCAGGAACTCGCCAAACTCTTCCATCCAGCTTCTGGATGTACAACGTTAGTAGCGTACTCTTGTTCTCCCCATGATCTTCCACGTTTCGAGCAACCTGTTAGCCTTCATAGTGCTTTCGTTAGTGAGGGAGACGAAGCTCAACATCAAGCCACAGGAACTAATTATTCCTTCTCTTAGACAACTTCAGATAGATTATTATTCGAATGGAATCAAGCAAGAGAGAAAAGAAAAGAGGGGGGGGGGGGAGGAAAGAAAGCCAATCAAATCAGCCACAAAATATCAAACGCAAAGGGGAACTTTCTTTTTGTCATGTTCTCCTTGCTCGCCCGTATTTCTTTGATTCGCCGGTCAAGAACAGTTATTTTCCAAGGGACAGGGAAGTGTCAGTTCCTTTTTCTTGCGGAGATACGTCAGGCAAAAGGATTTGATCCTCTCAGTCAACGTCTTTGGTATCCCAACCTTGTTTTAAATGGGATCGAAGGCTAATGTGTGCAAAAATATTGCTGGTTGAAACAGGAATAAGCGAATGAGGGACAAACAAAAGCCCCAGATACTTCAAGTCGCAAGGGACGGCATCCCGATTTCCTGGGAGCCTGCGCACTTTTAATCATTGGCCGCCTCCTTTGGCAAGCTGGGCTCGGGGTAGAGCTGCCTAATTGATACTGTTTCCTCCCTTCTGAAGAAGAAGAAATAAAGGGAAGATACGGTCAAGATGCTGATGATGAACGGTAATAATGCCCGAATACTTGTAACGAGACTAGGGAGTGGAATAGGTCTTCCACAAGAGCAAAGGCTTCCCCAAACTATTCGTCTCTATGAGCAAGCTCCGAGCAATCTCAGGTTAAGCTGAGCTTCCCTACGGCTGGTCTGGGCATATTCCCTAGTACTCTGTACGGATGCGCCGTCATTCGGAGTAGTAGACATCTCGAAGCAGCCGGAGAACTTGCGAAGCTTCTAATCCAGCCCCTGCCGCAACGCGGCTTCACTAGCGCATCCAAATGCCATTCGATAGTTACGAGACCCCTATCTATGCATGACAGGTCTGGGTTAGCAGGCATCTCGAGGGGTGAAGGGGAAAAAGAAATAAGAAACATAAAAGGGGGATGGGAAAAAAAAAAAAAAAAAAAGGGAAAACGAAGAAAAGAAAAGAAATGAAATGAAAGCAGCGAAAAGCTAGACGAAAAATATTGGTGCCCTCTCTTGAAGATCTATCTGGGTTTGGACTCTCCGGTACGGAGCACTCCGTACAAAGATGTCAATGATGTGAATATTGGATCTTGCACCAAATTCGGTTATATATTGGCAATCCTTCGATGCCCTTGTTATCTGCTTCCCGCAAATATTGCCTGATATACCATGCGATCATCTTCTAACCTGCCATTTGTTTTAATAAATTATTTCGAGCCGTCGCCCTGGAAGGTCTCCGAGTACCGACAAGGTCTGCCGCCTCCGGAGAATGGAGATTGCCCGTCAAGCGGGAGATCTAGTTTCATGGATCGTTCGGGGATCCGATCTCTCTGGCCAACCTCAGGGCATCGATGTCACAAGACAAGGGATGCCAGTACTCAACATATTTTGGCCAGCAATCTGGATCCTCAGATCGTCGATTAGCAGCATGACACTATCAAACAAGCTTTTGAAATATGAAACTAATGACCGGACGATGTTTAGTTTATATGCTGTTGATATGCTGTCGCACCGGCCCCAGCCCCAGCTGGCACGCTATATGATAACTGATATTGCCCTCGATGCTTCTGGACCTTTGAGTTGTGCAACGGCAGCGTCGGGGAAACGAGTTGCCATCTCTAATATATGCGGCGTTTCGTGTGATTTCGGTGGGAATCAACGGCAATAGTCTGATCCATGATACCCCCTCACCTTTCACCATCCAACACCCTTGAAGATACAGGAGCATAGAGTATTCAGGGTCCTTCCTTGCGCGCTTGAGATTACCGTTGAGCTGCTTTCCGAGCAAGAGATGCAGTGAGTTACATTGACTGACCCGACTATCCATCTAACGATGGCTCACCCATGTTGAAACACTACCGGGGTAGCTATGTACGGAGTACATGCATTGGAAATTGAAGACTGCTATCTAACCAGATGTTTCATCAGTGCCCTTTTTCTGGTTATCCGTTGTTGCTTCTTATTTCTTATTGCTTATTTTTATTTATTTTTATTTTTATTTTATTTTTTTATTTTCTTCCTTTCAACCAGGAAGGTTGAGACTTGCACTTGCTTGCTCGTCACTTCCAATTTGTCCTGGTTCATGTCCATACTCTGGAGTAAAGAGATAGCTCATAATACCCAGAAGGAAGAATAATGGTCATCTGCCTGCCCGCCTGACGAGGGATGGGGATGTCCCGGATCAATGGAATGTGACCATGCAATAATCGGACCATTATTTTTATTCTTGTTGACCGTACCTTTGCACTAATATTGTGTGTCCTTTTTTCCCTTTGCTTGCCTGTGATCCTTCCCACGCCTTTTCGGCCGGAATAGTGGTATCAAACTGTGAGTTCGAGCGCCAGCAGAGAGGCTTTACGGACCGGTTGAGCTCCCTTGGAATGTCAATAGCTCGACACCATGAAGGTTATTTCTCCCTTGAGGGTCAAAAAACGGGATGAGGAAGAGCTGGCCTTGAATCCCGTATTTCGGGCTCTAAGGAAGCAGCTGGGTGAAAACATAATGCTTAGGTGAGTGTCATAATAGGCTTGTTTCCTGGTGAAGCTCTCCTGGGCTGATTGATCGTCCTCTAAGTAGGTTCTGTCCTGCCCATGAACCCAGCGTTCCTGCAGATGAAAAGAAAGTCTTCGAGTTACACCGAGACATACTTCATGCTGTCTTCATGCCCTTGAAGCAACTCATCAGCCACGCAACCGACATAGCATCTCATTCGCTCCCAGATTATCTTGTATCAGACCCAGAGCTGGCTTTCCACGGTGAAGCACGCAACGCGTTTACATGGCTTCGCTCTATTATTACCGACGAGCCTGACTGGTGCATGACCAACGGCTGCCCAGCCTGCGTCGTCCTTCACATCTTCCACTCTGAACCCCTGATACGCATAGTATCTGTTGCCTGTCGAGTGTCCAACTGGATGTCCCATGTTGGACTGATGGAGCCGTCCATGAAGCTACCAAATTTCAACTTTTGGATGCAGTCCCTTGCGAAGGCAGTCATTAATGACTATTTCTGGGGCTATGATTACTGGATGGAGACGTACGACCGATCCGTATACATGGATCTGAGTACCAGAAAGCTCGTCTATCAGTGCTTCGAGATCCGTGATGCTGGCTATAAGATCCCTCATCGGCCGCTGGACTATGACCCAGGCGTTACTGCAGATGGCAGACCTAGGATCCATATTGAAGATACCCCACAGCCTTTGTTCATGCCCGAGCATGAGAAATGGGAGGAACTTGTTTTGATGGCGAAGAAGAATAGATCTCGCTCTCACCTACTACCTCGCACTGGAGGCCAAGGGTTTACCCCTCGAAAGCACAGTAGAAGCACAGCTGTTGCAGTGTAAGTTAGAAGAGAGGCTATGTTTATTGCTCTGGGTTATGGCCGGGCGTTAAGGAATGGATGTACAACCAGACTCGTTCTTTAGAACCGTACCGTGATGTTTCGTGTAGTATAAATTATCGGAAATTCATATCTGTCATTGCTTGCCTGACCTGCCATATATGTGAACTCCATTTAGCTACCCTGTTTCTTGGGCGTTTATCATCGTTTTAAGTACTCCTGATCCAACAAACGGCATGCGGATTATGTGTATGTCCCCATATGGGTGAACCTCAAGACTTGACTTCAGCTTCGTGTCAAATAGCTATCATGGATCAAACGATCCTACCTATAATTAGCAGGTGGTTATAGAAAACAATAGAAGTCATCACCCTGATTCTAGAAGACGGAAAGGCGTTAAAAAAAAAGGCTGATCTCCGTCAGCCAGTTCGTAGGGCGTGCGAATTATCAATGCATCTCACGAGCAACTTCATCCCCTTTAACCGTATATGCGTCGAGATCATATACGTGTATCACTTCGAAGCAGGGGAGAACAACGTTTTGATTCATCCTGCTCTACCAATCTTCATCCTTTCAATTTGTTTAATCAAAGCCTTGATCATGAACGAGTAATAGGTGTTGATAGCACTTGGTATAGCCGTGGTGGTATTCCCCGAAAAATATAGGGGGAGTAAACGGTAATTGTTCCATCATGATGACATTTGAATATCATCTTCGAAGACACTCTCATCCCTGCCCCTTTCCTCAGGTAGACCGTACAAGCCCTGGCATATGAAACAGTAACTGAGATATGGGTCTGTGGAATTTGCCATTCTGAGCCAACGATATAAAAGGGGGCATCAACTGATATAATTGCTTGTAAGGCAGCGATATAATTTATTGTAAGGCAGCACACTAGTTGAATGCATCAATTACTACCAAGGCAGTTATATCAGATCAACTTGCAGTTGGTTTTTTATAAATATTAGCACATTCATGTTCATGCTGAGGAGTCTGAATTGGCCCGCCGGAATGAGCCAGGATATTATCCAAACCAAATTTCAACTCCTTCCATGGGCATTGTTCATAAGACAGGAAGGGCTTCTTCCGCATTCTTGATTCAAAGGGCATGCAGAGCCAGTCAACAGGTTGGAGACGTGGATGAGCTGCAGCTGCAGTGATTCAGCGGAGTGGGACAAGCCACTCTCCGCAGTTTGATCAAAGGAGCTCAAGTTCAAAAATTGGGACTCGACGGCTAACGGGGCGCAGTTCCGAGGGCAAATTGAGGGCTGTATCTGCATGGTAAACGGGATAGCCAGACATCCCTCTCGTGGGATGATGGAATTTGTTCAAAGAAAGGGTATATCCAGGTAACAATGTGGCTGTAAAAATGCGGCCGGAACTCGAACAGAGCTCTCATCAAGGCCCATCAGTGGCTTGAGGACTTGCATCAACTTCTCTTCCAATACTCCGTACGGCTTGGATGACTGGCCAGTGTGAATTGAGGAGTGGTGGCTGTGGCTGTGGACGCAGCAAAGGGCAAAAAGGTGACGTCTCCAAACCAGCCAGCATCACAACAACAAACACCAGGGCAAGATCAAGGCACAGCCGCCACCGGCTAAGCACAAGCAGCGCAAAGAAGATAAGCTCCTCAGCGAAGAACTCAATAGAGGAAGCTTAACTCGCTTCTTGTCCTCGAGAACGGCCCAGACAGCTCTCCGTCGCATGTCTCTTTTGTCTCCACCGGCCATCAGTCTGGTACGGTACCTCACGTCTCGCTCGCCTACAGCGAAACGCCATCGCCATCGCCAACTTCAGGGGGGGGTCTTTGTACCGACGGGATGAACGCGAGCATGCGTGGCTGGCCCCAATGGTAACGTCTTTGCATGGGATACGCGCAGACTTGGGCTGATGGATTTGAATCATGGGGTTTGGGGGTCTCAGCTCGCGGCCATGGTGCAGCACTTTGCGGATCACATTACACGTACAGCTGGACTGGGACATGAGAAAAGAAAGGGGGAAAAAAAAAAAAGGGAGCTAGAGGACGGACAGATACGATGTACCCGAGCTCCTGGGCTGGAAGTACAAGGTACATGGTGCAGTACTCCGTAACTACGTATTGCGGGAGGGTTGGCTGGCAAGGTGCTCGTTCCCTCGTTAGGGGGTATATAACCATAATCTTTTATATGAGGAAGGATAACGCAGCAAGATATACGGAGTAAGTGAGTAACTATGTGGTTTTGGGTAGAATTAATTACGCCTACCGCGGCCGCTAACAATGTCCCAGCGTAGGGTCCGACGGGCCTCTAGCCACAGTCTAGGGGATAATTGACATACTAGTGATGTTCTCCACACTCTCGTGTATATTCCCGGCATCCACTCCTCCGTACTTTTCTTTTGAGCTGTGGGTTCAGTTTATCAAGGCTTGACGGCGTCTCTTCCCCCCTGATGCGAGGGCAAGACAAGTTATTTGCGGAGAACAAGTGTGTAGCTTGTTATCTAATACGGAGTATGTCCTGGATCAAATGGCTGGCCACAGCAGAAGCTAGGTTGAATTTGGCGCGATGGCCCCCCATGTCTGGGTGGCAGACGATGGACCCTCACGAATCGATGTAAGTGATCGATTGGGATCATCGTCTATTTTAGTTGGGCGTGCTAATTGCGTCACAGTGCTCGGTATGGACTATCTCTTTATCTTTATTAAGAGATAGACGAAGAAGGGGGTGGTGATGGAACTACGGAGAGAATGCAACACTGCATACGGAGTACCATGACCGCGAATCTGTCCGTATGGACGAGATAAGGACGAGAGGATGATGGGGGATGATAGGATGCTGCCGGCTGTTAACTAGCCTACCAGCAGAGACAGGAGGAGTCAGTTGATCCAATGTTCCCCCTGGAGAACCCATATATAGTAAAAGGAGCGGCCTAGACGTTGGCGTTCCTTGGCTGGCGGTTCGCCATCGCCCATCTTTAATTGCCTCTCGATTGGGTGGATTGGAGAGGAAAAGGAGGCCAGAAGCAGAGAAGGGAATAGGGAGAGCGAGAGTAACGGAAGAGGGTGGGGAGAGGAGGAGAAGGAGAAGGAGGAGGAGGAGGAGGAGGGGGAGGGGGTGGGATCGAGAACCTGGCTCTGGACGAACTTTGAACTCGCTATCGAATGTCCAACAGCAAGCTGGACCGTCTGACAGACGTCAGGGCCCGGTCCCGGCCCCATGTTCGTTAACTCACGAAAAAAAAGGAGATGTATGGAGGAGGTGATGTGTATGTCTACGCTTACACTTACAGCCTACGCTTTAACTTGTACCCGACGGCGACGGCCCTCGCTTGAGCTCTTCTTACTCATTATTGCCTGACGGAGCGGCCAGCCAGCCTTCAGACGACGGGGGGGAGATCAAAGAAGAAGGGCAGCTGTGTGACGTGGAGCAAGCTTGGGGTGACCGACTTGGATCTGCATCCACCATGGCCCACGGCTGCACACCACTAGTGGCATTGCACAGACGCATATCCTGAGACGTACGGCGTACGTACATACATGATACTTACGAGCATAAGTACATGCTACCGGGAGACGGTCACGCCAGACCCGGAACGGAGCACCCAGGCAACGCGAGCGAGACAGGAGGGCCAGGGGGGCAGACGGGCAGGCAAGAGGCCCCGAAACAAGCGATGTGAGGCGGACCGAACGGCAGCCAGCTCGCCTGTGGGAGGAACTCGAGGCTTGCCTGCCAGCAAGCTCCATATGACTGTAAGACCGTGAGACCGTGAGACTGTCTCTTGTCTGCTGCTCGTCTGCGTGCCCACGAGGCTGGTGGCCAGAAACTCCAGGGCCAGAGGAAAAAGCAACCTCGCTGCCTGGAGTTAACTAAGTGGCGAGACGAGTCCATGTCTGATCTATCACCCTCGACTCACACCCGGCCGTCTACTAAACCCCTCGACCGCACCCCGACCCAACGTCGACTCTTTTCCCCCTTCGCTCTCAGCCAACGCCGACGACCCCCGTCCTGCCGCCCGCACCGTCGTCTGCGGCCTCACTGCCTTCGGCGTCCTCCTCCTCCTCGTCGTCTTCCTCGTCCTCCTCCTCAGTGTTTGATGTCGAATAACACTCAACTTTTTAAACTCCCGAGAATAACACTTCAGCCGCCGAGCCTCTCTTGGCCCGGTCTAGACCTTTGGTTCGAGCGCCCGGTAATCTGCATACCAAAGTTACGCAAAGTTACGCATGGACGCGGGCAAACCGGGGCCGCAGCTGTCGTATTTCCGGTACGGCCAGTGCTTTTGCTGCGCTTTTGGTTGGACTCCCTGCCTCCTTGCGTCTCTCTCGCGGGCCTCGAGGGCGGACGTGGACGCCCCCCTCCGCTTCTCCCCTACTCTTCGCCCTCTGCTTCGTCTTGCTCGCCGCAGACATCCTTGATATCTCGCCGCCAGGGCCGCTTCTTCCTGCTCTGCATCTCCACGGCTCCAGGCTGCCTCCTCCCCCCCCCCCTCTCCCCCCCGTGAGGAAAGACTGTGCCTACTCCCTCCTGATCACGGCCCAGGGCTGACTGACTCGACGCCGTCTTCAGGGCCTTCAAGCCATTACCGGGCCGCCAATGAGATACACAACGCTGCCTAGCTCCAGCTGAATTGCCAATCTCTCTGTCTACCCAAGAAGCCCGTCTTTTCTTTCTCTCTCTCTTCCGCCCGCCCTCCCTCTGTTTCCTCTCTTTCTTTCTTCCTCTCTCCATAACATAACCCGTACGCCGGTCGAGTTCGTTTCCCCGTGGCAGAGCCTGCCAGCAAGAAGAAAAACACGCCTGCATCAACAACCATCACCGGCCTGGTCCCATCTCGACTGTCGTGAATGCTCCAGCAGAAGAATGACCCTCTGCTTCGGGCGGCCCTCCACACCGATGGTAATATGAACATGAGAACCTGCGGCCACGACAAGATACACATCGATACCGGAGGACCGTCTTCCTGTCTCGTCTTTCCCTTCCCTTTCGCCGGTTGTCGTCAGCAGCAACCTAGCCAGAGCCGTCGTAG